TTTGAAGCTATTGTGGCCCGCAGCAGAGCTGTGAATCGCTCACCGTGGCAGATTCTCTCTTGGGCTTTATTTGAGATCACTGTCTCCTGAGTCAACGTCCAGTGTGGGTAAGTCTCACTGGCTGAACCGCATCTTGTGGCCGCATCTTCATCACGTGGAGTTCCTGGAAGTACAAAGGTAAGGGGTTACATCTGGTGAGCATCTTCCTGCTGGTGAAGACTCTGTAGAGTCCCAAAGTGGTGGTACAGGGCATCACACGGCAGCATAGAACCCAGATGTTCACATTTTAGCCATTTGTATGAATGTGAATCAGCATCTCACTGTGGTCTGATTTTCATTTTCTTCATGGCTCTTGAGGCTGACCATCTCCCATGCTTACTGTTCATGTATCTTCTATGATGAAGCCTATGTTTAAATTTTTTTGCCTCATTTTTGATTTGGGATGCTTGAGCTCTGATTACTGAATTCTAGAAATTATTTTAAATTTACTTTTACTCTCTCTCTGTCTTTCTGTGTGTGTGTATGTGTGTGTGTGTGATGTGTATGTATGAAGGTGGGTGTACATATTTCACAGCATGCATGCAGAGGTCAGAAGACAACACAAGAGTAAACTATACTTCCACAGTGGGTTCTAGGGAGAGAATTCAGGTCATCAGGCTTATGTGGCAAGTGCTTTTACCTACTGAGCCATCTCACTGGCCCTAGTGACTCTTTTGATTGATTTTATTATTGATTTTATTATTTATTTGTGTTGAGACTTCATCTCATATAGCTCATGAAATTGTTGAGGCATAAATAAAAGATAGTCTGTTTAATTTTATTTTTGCTCTTTTTGAGACAGGGTCTTCCTGTAGCCCCAACTGGCCCTGAACGTACTATGTAGACCAGGCTGGCCTGGAACTCACTATGTAGCCCAGACTGCTTCCAGCTGTATTTAACCGAGAAAGACCTTGAACTTCTGATTCTGCCTCTGCCTCCTGAGCGCTGGGATTATAGGCAATGAGTCACCATGTCTGGTTTTTATGTGGTGCTGAGGTAGATAAATTCTACCAACTGAGCCACATCCCCACTCTCTAGGTGAATTTTTTCTTTGTAGTCTGCAAACACGGAACCCCAGGTTTGCATACCTCTCTCATCTCTAGAACTTTTATAGTTTTCTCGTCTTCTACAAATTCTAGCTGCCTTAGCCACCTGGAACTTTTCTTTTGTTTGCCCTGACTCCATGAGATTGCCAGGTTCTGTTTGGACCCTGCTTCTGAACTGAGGTCTGGAAGCTGCTCCCAGGAAGAAAGCCCAGAAAGGGCAGTTCTCACATCATTCCTTTCCCTTCTCACAGAAGTGATGGTCTTGTGTTAGCTGGTGTCCACTGTCTGAAAATTGTCTCCCACATTTCCTTCAGTTTTCTGTTTATAGCGGGAGAGTTCTTTTGGACGCTGCTATTCCCTGATGGTTGAAACTTTTTCTCTTCCATTCTCAATGATTTTAGAACAAGCCTTGTTTCCCGTACAATTGCAAGTGAGTAAAGGTAAGGAGGTGGCTTTAGGGTTGGTCAAATTAGTGTGCCAGTGACATCATCAAACTCTAGTAGTTCCACTTTTCCTCGACGTTATTTTTGTCCCCTCCAGTCCCTGCTCTGACTTCCGTCTCATTAGTTACCAGGTGGCTGCCACACTCAGAGACTTCCCATCCAAACCTCTAGCATTGTCCACGGCCTGAGCCTAAACTCTAAGCAACTTGGGTTCTCACAGGTTGCTTAGTGTCTTCTCTGGATGTGACTTACATTATACCACTGGGGTCTGGGCTTCTCTTGAGGAGGGATTAGAAGAAGCAGGATGAGAGCTCATTGAAGCTGGTGGTGGAAACTGAGCCTGAAGTTCATTTGGCTTAGTACTTCATTGGTTTGCAATGGATTCAGCTACTAGTGTACAACTACAGCTGGAACCACGTGGAGATGATCCTAGTAGATCATCGGTTTTCCTTTTTAAAAAATTTTTTATTATTTTTATTTTATGTGTGAACGTGTGTATTGCCTGCATGTAGGTAAGTGCACCCATGTCATGCAATGCCCGTGGAGGACAGAAGAGGCTGTCAGATCCCTTGGAACTGGAATTATGGACAGATGTTAGCTGCCATGTGGGTGCTGGAATTTGAACTTGGGTCTTCTGCAAGAACAGTGAGTGTTCTCAGCTTCTGAGCCATCTCTCCAGCCTCAGTATCAAGTTTTTGAGTCCCAAAAGGAAGTTGCTTCAACACGTCATCTTTATGTGTGTGTGTGTGAGAGAGAGAGAGAGAGACAGACAGACAGACAGACAGACAGAGACAGAGAGACACAGAGAGACAGAGAGATAGAGAGAGACAAAGAGTTATGCATGTGGGGCATAGGTATGTGCAGGTGCGCTCTCCCGTGTGTGCACAAATAGAGGCCAGAGGTCGACTTCAAGTATCTCCCTATCATTCTCCACCTTTTTTTTTTTTTTTTTGGAAAGGGGTTTTCCTTGT